ACTGATTTCTTCTGATTGCATGCTGGACGGTTCAGAAATAGGATTAAATGAATCTTCGTTTGATTGCTGTTTAATGAATTCTAATTGACTAGAATTAACAGTTGATCCGTTTACACTATCCTTTAGGTCACATTCAGATAATTCTTTTCCATAAAAGGATAATTCTTCTTTAATGTTTGTATAACAGAAGGTTTAGATTTTTGCAATTGCTTCTAATCGAAATACATTAAGTCTTGTTCTTCAATCACCGAATAACCATTTAAGAGTTGAGAAATTTCTTTCACACACAGCTTGTGAAGGTGGAATAGAAAATATTTTGATAGCAAGTTCCGTTAGTGGATCTTTTTGAGCATCAATACTAAGCCACCACTTTAATTTTCCTTTTTGAATGGCTGGATATAAGGTTTTTCCTTATGCTTATAAGCACGAAGCTCTATTAGTAAATCTTCACATGATGCTTCATCATACCCCAGATCTTGCCACATATTGGCTGCAGTTTCACAGATTTCATGAAATTGGCCACGCCTTAACCTAGCACCTTATAAATAAAAAATATATTAGCATAATATATTAATTATTAAGATATTACAATAAAATATTATATATACCTCGATATAATGAATGCAAATAGTATGCAAGTTGGTATAATGGTGTGTTGCAAATTCTCTAAACCGGGAATTATAAATTTTTATAGCCTTAGGTTTAAACAAGTTTAAATCTGGAAGACGATTAATAGCTGCAGCGATTTTAATTAGTGCAACATAACAATCAGCAATTGTTGCATGTCAGCTTTCTAGTTGGTTAATTATATCTTTAACAGGTTTAATAATTGCTGATATAAATCGACAATGATTAAAAAATTCTATATCTTGAATTAAATCAAGTACTGCCTTGTTAGAAATCACATTTGCATAGTTATTAATAAGCTAAAGTATAATAATAAAATAAAAATAAATAAAATTAATTAAATTAATTATTTAATAATATAAAATATTAACTTACCCAATCAAAAACTGGTTGTGTACGAATTAAAGAATTAACAGTTGTAAATAGTGATTCCTATCGGGTTTTACAGTAGGTTTTAAGTTCACCACCATTAATATTTATAGTTATTAATCCTTTTTTTAAAAGTTCATTAGCTACTGATAAACAGTGAAAAAAATTTACAACTAATCTATATTTTTTAATTAATTCTTTGATTTCTTCAGTATCAAATAAATCAGATGCAATTAAGTTGATTGTATGTGCACCACAACGTATGTCAAGAATAAAATTAAATTGATTATTTACTAATCTTCTTGTACGTCTTATGTTTGAACCATGATCTGTAATAATGGCTGCGAATTTTTCTATACCAATTTCATTAAGAACACTATTTTTTATTTTTTATTTTTTTTTATTAATATAATGTCATAGTAGAAACTTTATTACAGTCAGTCCGAAGATTGAAAGTTATCTTATAGTCTACAAATCCAGGTAAGGGGACAGATAAGCTATTTATTTATAACCAGGCTGCCAAAACCCTTCAACTTGAACTAGTAAATTTTAAGAAGGTTGATTAGAAAATATATTTCTATAGTTAAATATTTCTAACTACACTTGTGCTAAAAAGCACCCAATGTGACATTACACTTCCTATTTCCTATTTAATACTATTATTAGTCTAAATAAATAAAATAACTCTAGCTAGGATAGGTTGGAGAAAACTCTAAGGTGTTAATCCTGACATTACATAATGCAAGTTGTTAGAAAAAAGCCTTGTGGATACCATTTTTCAATGGCAGAGTGTAAGTTCAGTAGTTGAGTAGTAGATGTTGTTGTGTTTGATTGGTTGGTAGTAAGTAATAAAGAAAATTTAATGCATTTTGTTTTGTTAATAATATTTTGGGCCAATTCCCATTGGTGTTGATATATGTTACGTTGGGACTATATTTCATGATAAAACCATTTAAAGAGATTGTTTGAAAGGCTAATTGCGAAGTGTTTAGTTTGTTTTTTGAGTAGAGTTTTAAGGGTGTGATATATTGGTTTCGAGTAGATACCAAGTATAGTAGGAAGTAAAAAGTTATATTGAGGGTTTATATAATTGAAAGTAGATTGTAAAAGAGTATTAAGAAATGTAATTGATAAAATAGATGTAATTTGGAGTTGTTGTAACGTATTTGAGGTTATATTAAGAAGTGACTGTTGGATATCTTCATTGTTTTTTGAGCATAGAAGTATATGAAGAGTATCTTCTATTGTAGAGCATTTGCAACAGCTATTTGTTGTATAAAGATTAGGGTATCGGATTTTGAGATTTTGCATAGTTGGTAGATTATTTGTAAGAACTTTAATATAGAAGGAGTATTTTGAAGAGCAATGTTCAAGAGAGTTAAGAATTTTGAAGGTGAGATTCCAATTTATATTGGATGTATAATTGTTAAAGAATTTGAGAGAAGTCCACAAGAGAAGTTCTTGAATTGTAATATTACTTTTGATAAATGAGCAAATTTTGAATGTTATTGTATAATTATACCAAAGAAAGTGAGTAGGGAAGTTAAAGTATGAGTAAAGGATTTCTACAATTGGTTTGGCTGTACCACATTTGGCTAAGAGGTCCGCTTGGTTATGAAGAGAACTAGTTGAGTGTGATTTAACTTTAATAGAATTAATAGAAATATTTTTAGTTGTTAAGAGTAAGTTGATAATAAAAATAATGTTCCAATTTTTTTGTTGGATAAGTTTATGAGATGTAAAGCCTGATAAGCTTTTAATTGCTGAAAAGTTATCCATATAAATGGTAAGTGTAGAATTAATTAATAAAGTAAGAAGTAGAGGAATAGTTGCTATTAGTTCTGAACGAGTAGAATCAGGAGAAGGTAGGATTGCTGCATTGAAATTAATAGAGGGGTTATTTTCACAAATCCAGCCTATACCAGTTTGTATATTAGATGTTTTAAGATTTTAATAGAAGCATCAGTATAAAATTGTAAGTCAGTTGTGTTTAGATTTAGGATATTGTTATATAATTGAGTTAGATAGTTTTGATAGTTAGGTGTTTTGATAATATGTTATATAAAATGTGTTTTCTGGGAGGGTAAATTAATTTGAGGTTGGTGTAGAGATGATGGAGTAGTAGTAAGGTTTTTAGATATATTAATTATAGCGAGGATCTCTTTATAGTCTATTTGTAAGAATGGTTTTTTAAAAATAATTCGTTTATATGATAAATTGATAAGATTAGAATTGGATATTGTATTGTTAGTTTCAGTTAATTCTGTAAATCCTAAGAATGTTTGGTCTGTTTGTCTTATAGTTGATAAGGTTATTTGAATATTGAATTTTAAAAGTCTAATAATGTATATAAAAAATTTGGGACAAATTATATCAATCTTTGATTTTAGACCTAATATTCAAATTGCAAATACTAAAATATAATAGATAATATTAATATTTAATGATAAAATAAGGTTATATTTAAGTTTTAAAAACATGGTTTAAATTAGGGATGTTATCCTGTTTGCCTGAACTCAGTTCGACCCTATTTGAGGCCTGAACTCAATGGAACTCGAGTTTTTGCAGTCACATGATTTCTATTATCATATTTAAACTCCTCGTGCTCGAAACGAGTTTGAAATAAATTAAATAAGCAAAATGCTTGATTTGTAATTAACTTAGACATTTAATTGATTACATAGTTATAACAAACTTTTAATTAATTACATCGTTATAACAAACAAAAATTGGCTTTTTTTTAATTTTCAATACTGTAATATTATGATATGATGACAATTTGTCGGTTTAAATTTTTTTTTAATAAATTAAAAGTTAATTTATAATAGCGTGATATTACGAAATTATGATATGACGTATAAAGAAAAAATTAAAAAAAAATAAAAAATAAATAAAAAAAAAATAAAAAAAAAATAAAAAAAAAAAAACTTTTTTTTCTTGAATTCTCTAATTATGGATGAAGAAAATGCATTTGAACAATTTATTGACCCAATTGAACCTACCTCTTCAAGCTCGATGTCTCAATATACACCCGAATCTGAAACACTTATTGAAATAACAAACAATCCTTCAAAGTGATTAAAAAAGGACCCTTTTTGGAATGAACTTACCGAAACTGGTGAAAAACGACATTGCAAACTTTGCAACAGAGCATATTCATTGGATATAGGTCTCTCTACTATTAAGTCTCATTTTAAGCATAACTATGCAGAGAGATACAACGAACTTATGATAGCTATTAAAGCAAACGTTGAGCTTTTTAGTGTCAAAAAGATCTTACAAATTAACCAGTATCTTCTAAAATAGATTATCATGGACCAGCAGGCTTTTTGTCTTGTTGAGAACAAGGATTTTTGACAATTCATTAGCAAATTAGCCCTACGATATTACCTTCCATCAAGACAATTCATTTTGCAGAGTATTTTAAGACTATATTATGATAAGCAAAACGAACTTCGTAATTTTTTTAACACAAGTTAGCAAAAATTTGCTATAATGACAGATGCTTGAACCTCATGCACCAACCTTGGATTTCTTGCCATTACCTTCATTGAATTGATGAAACCTGGGCTATGAAATAAATATTATTAGATATGATACTATTACATGAATGACATACCGGTAATTACTTAACTGAAAAAATCGTAGAAACGATTTCATTTTACAACATTGGGTCTCGAATTGTTTCTGCAACTACCGACAACGCAGCTAACATGGAGCTATTTGGACGCGTATTTCGGAAAAGGCTTTGCTTTGAATATGGTAATAAAGACTTCGAACATGTCCGCTGTGTGGCTCATGTATTGAACTTAGCAGTTTTTGAGGGTATGAAAGTTGTAGTCGATTTAATTACAAAGTTGCGAAACTTTATAAGTTACATATGTAAATCCCAACCATTATTTGAAAACCTTAAAAGGGTTTTTCAAGTAAATGGAAGGCCTTTTCTTGTACCTGACTTGGATGTATCGACAAGGTGAAACAGCACGTACAATATGATTAAAAAAATGTCCCAAATCTGTCAAATGACTGACAACCTTGTTGAAGATAATCCTACTTTAAAGGATCGATATTTAAACGAAGCCGAATGGCATGAAATTGAGATTAGTATTTTAAGTTATGTATTTTTAAATATAATATAATAAATTGAATTACTTATCTGTTATTTAAAGCTATAGTTATGTTACTTGAGCCTATGGCGAAAGTGACACCAATTTTATCATCATTGTCCTGTCCAACCATAGGGGATTTGCATATGATATTTCCTATGATTTTAAATACTTTACATAGTGCGTTGGGTAGTAAAATTCAAATAAATAAGCAAATTGCACAACGAATGCATAAAAAACTTAACGACTATTGGGCTATCCTTCAAACTAGTTGTAGCATATCAGTTGCATTAGACCCAACTATGAAATTATCTTCGTTTGATAGTGAAACAGCAAAAATTGTGCGTGAGCTACTGTATAGTGCTTATGTGCAATATAAAGAATTTGGCTTATTTACTGCTGAAGAAACTAATGATTCTCCAAGAAATTATTTTAGAAAATGTAGAAATGAAAAGTTAAACACTACTTTTGATGTTCTTGAATGATATCTTATCACTGTTGAAGAAAACTGTAATCCCTTAGACTTCTGGAAGACATGATCTGCTGATATATGTTACTCTGAGCTCTCAAAAATGGCAAGAGACTACTTGGTCATCAAGCAACAAGCATACCAAGTGAAGAAATGTTTTCGAAGGAAAAAAATACAATCAACCCAATACATAATAGGTTGTCTAAAGAAAATGCTTCTGCAAGCCTTTGTTTAAAGACTTGGTATGAAGCAGGTATTATTGACTGTAATGAATAGATTAGTAAATAAATAGCAATAAATACAATAAACATTAAATAAATAATAAATAATAGCGATAGATTATAAAGCAAAATTTTATAATATAAATTTAATATAAATTTTATGTTGAAGTATTTGCTTAATAAATAAACAGGTTTTATTTAATTGCTCATGCAAACATGCTTATTATAATATTTGTATAAACTGA